ATGCAGTACCTCTTAAATCTAATTTACAGTCATGATTTTAGATGTAATGTGACAGATTACAATGCAAAACATGCAAGAACCAAGGGTGCTTTGGAGTCAATAATAATGTCATATCTGTGATGAAAGGTACATTAACTTTAATTCAACACAAGCAAAAGAGATTTGTGAGCTCCAGCTCAGATTTTCAGGGAATAATTTTTTTTTCTTTGTGCAAAACTGCCATACAGCTTTCGAAGACTTGGAATGCTCACAAGTCCTAGTTCTACTTTCATGATAGTTTTATCTACTCTGTTTTCAATATATGGATATTATTTAGCCATTTGGTGTGCTACTGAAGAAAGACAATCATACAGGGTTTGAATGTCAAGATGAGGTGATAAACTATAGGAGAACAGTCATTGCACTGTCAGCTTGAGATAAAAACCTTCTTTTGTCATTAACGCTTTGAGGAAAACATCAGAGCCCGTTTCATTCAATAAAACACTAGAAATCCAAAACAAATTTTTGATCTATGACCATGACGTGCAAAATAATGCAACAATTAGGCTATTAACATGGCCTTTCCAAAACAAACAACAAATGTTATCATGCTTATTTACTCAAAAAACATCATGACATTCACTAACATATCTGTATGCAATATGCATGGATTGAAGAAGTGGGAAATATTGGGTGGGTTACATGCTAAACTAAAACCAGACCACATACCACATGCAAGCAAGTCTCATATCAACCCGAGCTACAAGCTGCCATGGAAAGAAATCCAAGCTCGGTCACATGAAGTTATTTATGGTATTTCTGAACCTGCTGTGACAAAGCTATGAAGTGAGAAAAATACCATGATCGCTCACAACCAGCAGACTTTATTTACAGATAACATAACAAAACACATTTATAGAGCATCTCTGTGTGTTCTGCATGATTCATGAGGGCCTGAATCAGGTACAATATGAACGGAGTCAAATCACAAAGCAAATCCTGTTTAACATCTTTACAACTGTGAGCTCTCATTCTTAAACTCTAAACCTATGGCTTTGCTAGTCAAATATGCAATATTTATCAGGAACACATCAGGACTCAAAAGTACTGGAATCAGCACCCACAGAGAACAAACCCATATCCAGTGACATCCAGTCACTGATCTGCCATGTGACATGCTCTGTATTTTTGGAGCAATAAATGTCAAGAGTTTTGATTTCTGATGCTCTATTTCTGAGGGATGACAAACACTAAACAGAAGTGCAGGATCCTTACACACCCACTTCTGTGGATCCCCCAGGAATGCTGAAAATAACATGAATTTAGTCATTCATTTTTTCGTTCCAGAAGCACTTCACTAATTCCACAGTAAATCATCCAACTCATGTTAGCAGGGAGAAAATCTGCATTTACCATAGTTCTTGCATAGTAGCTATGGTATTTGTGTGATATCATAGTAAGCAGGCACTGCTTTATCATGGTTAGACCAACATAACTAACAAACAAACGGTATTTGCAAACAACTACCATATTTGTCATAAAAAATAAGCAGATACCACAGTTAATAATTGAAATCATAGTAAAATCTCGCGATTTCGAAAACGCATAATGATTAAACGCGATAGTGCCAAAATACTAAAACAGAAAACTATCACTTATACACGTATTCCCTCTAGACCGGCATAAACTAACACAAACAACACCCTAATAATATCAAACTAGTAGAAACACTAACATTAATAGATAACTACACTAAAAAGCAAATTTATCAAATAAAAACAGTCCATAAGCCCCCAGCATTTAGCAGCAGAGCCAACTTCAAAAACACTGCGCTGCTTTGATTAAAATATCTTCACAAACGCTATTACTCATTAATACACCACTTTAGATCATATCACTCTGTTTTAAAAAAGCATATAAAACGAATAAATTCATACTAAATTTAAAAAAATGAAAAATAAACAGTTTTTTGATGTGATAACATTGAGGTTTACACATACCCTAATAATATCAAACTAGTAGAAACACTAACATTAATAGATAACTACACTAAAAAGCAAATTTATCAAATAAAAACAGTCCATAAGCCCCCAGCATTTAGCAGCAGAGCCAACTTCAAAAACACTGCGCTGCTTTGATTAAAATATCTTCACAAACGCTATTACTCATTAATACACCACTTTAGATCATATCACTCTGTTTTAAAAAAGCATATAAAACTAATAAATTCATACTAAATTTAAAAAAATGAAAAATAAACAGTTTTTTGATGATAACATTGAGGTTTACACATAGGTTTCGCTTCGGCTAGCTAGTGCGTTAGCCTACTAGCTCAGCGTTTGAGGCTCCATTTATGTACAAAACCACTGAAAATAGACAACAGAACGCCTAATAAAGTGTGTTAAGTGTTGAATTAGTGCAATATAAACTAGTATGAATAACAAGCAATAATAATATGCCGTGAATTAAGTCCGCTCGACTGCATTGTCACTCGACAACATAAGCAGTGGGATCATTTATCTCTCGTGTCATTTTTCATCTTGTATCTGGCCGTGTCTCGGATATTTTTTGGTTTTGTAATGTCACCTGTACGTAGTTGCTCTCGCAGTACTCGGCGACTCTCTCTAGGTTGGCGTAGCTGTCCAGCAGAG